AAGCCATTGTTTCGCATCCTAGTCTCCAGGGAAGCAGAAAACAAGCTTGCTCCCTCCTCCCTGTGGCTTCCTCTCACATATTTATACATGGCTATCATATCTCCTCTCAGCCTTCTCTTCTTCAGGCTAAACATGCCCAGTTCCCCGAGCCGCTCCTCATAGGGCTTGTTCTCCAGACCTTTTATCATTTTAGTCGCCCTCCTCTGGACACATTCCAGCTTGTCAATATCTCTCTTGAATTGTGGTGCCCAGAATTGGACACAATATTCCAGGTGTGGTCTAACCAAAGCGGAATAGAGCATGGGGAGCATGACTTCCCTAGAACTAGACACTATGCTCCTATTGATGCAGGCCAAAATCCCATTGGCTTTTTTTGCCGCCACATCACATTGTTGGCTCATGTTTAACTTGTTGTCCACGAGGACTCCAAGATCTTTTTCACACATACTGCTCTCGAGCCAGGCATTGTCCCCCATTCTGTATCTTTGCATTTCGTTTTTTCTGTCTAAGTGGAGTATCTTGCATTTGTCCCTGTTGAACTTCATTTTGTTAGTTTTGGCCAATCATCTCTCTAATCTGTCAAGATCGTTTTGAATCCTGCTCCTGTCCTCTGGAGTCTTGGCTATCCCTCCCAATTTGGTGTCGTCTGCAAACTTGATGATCCTGCCTTCTAACCCTTCATCTAAGTCATTAATAAAGATGTTGAACAGGACTGGGCCCAGGACCAAAACCGTATGGCACTCTCCCGTAAAAACTGTTTGCCTCTTCCCAAGATCAAACACTATTTGCAATCTAGCAATACTGGTTGTCTTCTGACATGCTCTGAATTACAGACGCTACCGATGTTCTATAGCAAATTTTGGCCCTCAAGGTGTGTGGACTTCAACTCCCACAATTCCTAACAGCTTACCGGCTGTTAGGAATTGTGGGCATTGGAGCCGGAGTTTGCCCATGCCTGTTCTATAGCCTTATCTCGAGAAAGAAGTTTCATTGCTCTGGCTTTCTGTGATACGCCATTTCTCAAGCTGTTTCAGTTTCACCTTTGTGTCTTGGCACTCTTACTCATCGGAAATATATCTTTCCACTCCCACAGTCTCAATTTTAGCATTTTTCCTCTCTGGGGACACCTCATCTTCTACACACTTATTCCCAATATTATTCAGTGTACACAGTCAATACTAGGCCTAGCCATGCCGTCAGCTGTAGAGGTTTAAGAGGACTGTTAAAAGCCAAGTGCTTCCTCCTCCATGCTCACATATACTATTATGTTACCTGCCAACAGAAAAACAGAAACAGTCCAAAGAGCAGAATGTGGCCTAGTTTACAGTTCCCTTGAAGGTCACTATCATTAGGACGGAAGAAAAGCAAAAGTGAGTTAAGGATCTAGTTCTAGAGGAAAGGAACAACCTGAGCAGGCCTTAAATTAACAGGAAACGTTACTATAATAATCAGAGATCTAAATCAGCATTTGCATAGTCAGGAACAAAACATATTGCAGTTGAAACACAAGCCAAAACTTATGAAGGCAATCCAAAATCCTTCAAAAGCGGACAGAGATGGCTGAAAGAGAGTGATACCTTTGCATTCTGTTGGCTCAGAGTACACAAACTTTGATTCATGCACAAATTTATGTGCTTTATATACTCGAGTATAAGCCGACCCGAATATAAGCCGGGGCATCTAATTTTACCACAATAAACTGGGAAAATGTACTGACTCAATTATAAGCTGAGGGTGGGAAATGCAAAATAAAAATAGATACCAATAAAATTACGTTAATTGAGGCTTCAGTAGGTTCAATGCTTTTGGATATTTACATAAAACTGTAATTTAAGATAAGACTGTCCAACTCCGATTAAACCATGATTCTCACCTTCTTCCATGTAAATGTGCTCACCTATCCTTCCCATAATGAAGTTATTTGCAGGATATTATTATTATTATTATCATTATTATTATTGCTGTTATTATTATGTGCAGGATCATATTATTAGTATTATGATTCTATTATTCTTACTATAATTCCTGCCTTGTTAGCACTACTGTTATTTTTAGGATGTTTTGTAGTTGCTGTTGTTATTATTATTATTATTGCAGGATATTATTATTAGTATTATGATTATTCTACTATTCTTACTATTGTTCTTGCTACTTTAGTACTGAAGTTATCTGCAGGATATTATTAATATTGTGATTATTCTACTATTCTTATTATTGTTCCTGCCAATTTAGTACCAAAGTTATTTGCAAGATGATATTATTATTATTAATTATTATGTGCAGGATCGTATTGTTATGATTCTACTATTCTTATTATAATTCCTGCCATGTTGGTACTACTGTTATTTGCAGGATGTTTTGTTGATGTTGTTATTTGCAGGATATTAGAATAGAATCATAGAGTTGGAAGAGACCTCATGGGCCATCCAGTCCAACCCGATGCCAAGAAGCATATTATTATTAATATGTATAATTAGTATAATGATTATTCTACTATTCTTACTATTGTTCTTGCCACTTTAGTACTGAAGTTATTTGCAGATGATGATGATGATGATATTATTATTATTATGTGCAGGATCGTATTATTATGATTATGATTCTACTATTCTTATTATAATTCCTGCCATGTTGGTACTACTGTTATTTTTAGAATGTTTTGTAGTAGTAGTTGTTGTAGTTATTATTGCAGGATATTATTAGTAGTATTATGATTATTTTACTATTCTTATTGTTCTTGCCACTACAGCTATTTGCAGTATCTTATTACTATTCTATTATTATGTACAGGATATTATTAATAATAATAACATTAATTATTATTAATATTGTTATTTTACGATTCTTACTGTTATTCCTGCCATGTTATTTGCAGGATATTATTATTATTACTATTATTACTATTATGTGCAGGATCCTATCAGTATGATTCTACTATTCTTCCTGTAATTCTTGCCAGATTGGTACTACTGTTATTTGCAGGATGTTGTTTTGTTGTTGTTATTTGCAGGATATTACTATTCATATTGTGATTATTCAACTATTCTTACTATTGTTCTTGCCCTACAGTTATTTGCAGTATCATATTACTATTTTATTATGTATATCATCATATTATTATTAATAATAACAATGACATTAATTATTATTAATGTTATCATTTTACTATTATTCCTGCCATGTTACTGCTACTTTTACATCACCATATTATTATGAATAATATTAATTATTATTAATATTATTAGGTTCTTGTGGGTTTTTTCGGGCTGTATGGCCATGTTCTAGAGGCATTTTCTCCTGATGTTTCGTCTGCATCTATGGCAAGCATCCTCAGAGGTAGTGAGGTCTGCTGGAATTAGGAAAATGGGTTTATACATCTGTGGAATGACTGGGGTGGGGCAAAGGGCAAAGAGCTCTTCTCCTCTGGAGCTAGGTGTGAATGTTTCAACTGACCACCTTCATTAGCATTTGAAGGCCTGGCTGAGCCTGGGGGAACTTTTGTTGAGAGGTATTAAGATGTGCCTGGTTGTCTCCTCTCTGCTGTTTTGCTGTTGTAATTTTAGAGTTTTTTAATACTGGTAGCCAGATTTTGTTCATTTTCATGGTCTCCTCCTTTCTGTTGAAATTGTCCACATGCTTGTGGATTTCAATGGCTTCTCTGTGTAGTCTGACATGGTGGTTGTTGGAGTGGTCCAGCATTTCTGTGTTCTCAAATAATATGCTGTGTCCAGGCTGGTTCATCAGGTGCTCTGCTATGGCTGACTTCTCTGGTTGAAGTAGTCTGCAGTGCCTTTCATGTTCCTTGATTCGTGTTTGGGCGCTGCGTTTGGTGGTCCCTATGTAGACTTGTCCACAGCTGCATGGTATATGGTAGACTCCTGCAGAGGTGAGAGGATCCCTCTTGTCCTTTGCTGAACGTAGCATTTGTTGGATTTTCTTGGTGGGTCTGTAGATTGTTTGTATGTTGTGTTTCCTCATCAGCTTCCCTATGCGGCCAGTGGTTCCCTTGACGTATGGCAAGAACACTTTTCCTCTGGGTGGATCTCTGTCTTTACTCTCGATGGCTTGTTCTTGGTCTTGCAGTTCTTCTGATGTCTGAGGTGGAGTCTCCATTGGCCTGGAGAGCCCAGCTTAGGTGGTTCAGTTCATCTTGGAAGAGGTGGGCTTAGCAGATTCTTTTTGCACGGTCTGCCAAGGCTTTAAGGGTGTTTCTTTTTTGACTTGGGTGATGGTTGGATTTTTCATGTAGATAGATAGAAAATCCAACAAATGCTACGTTCAGCAAAGGACAAGAGGGATCCTGTTACTTCTGCAGGAGTCTACCGTATACCACCTCTCAACGAAAGATTCTCCCAGGCTCAGCCAGGCCTTCAAATGCTAATGAAGGTGGTCAGTTGAAACATTCACACCTAGCTCCAGCAGACAAGAGTCCTTTCTCCCACCTTGGTCATTCCACAGATATATAAACCCTTTGTCCTAGTTCCAACAGACCTCACTACTTCTGAGGATGCTTGCCATAGATGCAGGCGAAACGTCAGGAGAAAATGCCTCTAGAACATGGCCATACAGCCAGAGAAAACCCACAAGAACCTATTATTATTTTAGCACCCACTTTTTGCTTGATAGTCAAGCACTGCATCTGATTCCAGCCATGAAAGCCTTCGACAGTACATTAATTATTATTAATGTTATTATTTTACTATTTTTACTATTATTCCTGCCCCGTTACTGGTACTTTTATTTGCAGGATATTATTATTATTATTATTATTATTATTATTATTATTATTATTACATCTTTACTATTCTTAGCACTACTGTTAATTGCAGGGCCTGTGCTCCGTACCCTTCCCCCTTTTGTGGCTGGCTCCTGAGCCGCGGAAGTGAATCCCCACTCGCGCCCCTTTCTTTCCTATCCTTCCCCACACTTCCCCTCAGGGCTAGATACCTTTCCCCTTCCTCTTCCTCTTCCTCTTCCCCTTCCCTTCGGTCCAGGCTCACCGCTGCCTGGCGAGGCGGGCTCCTTCTCCTCCTCCGCCGCCGCCTTCCCGGCCCTCAGAGCGCCATTCGTGCCATCCCCGCGCCTTCCTTTCCCTTCCTTCCCTCAGGAAAGGCGGCGGACTCGGCCCAGCCTCCTCCCCTCAAGGCTCCGCCCGCCGACTAGGCCCCGTCTCCCTGGGCAACCGGCCACACCCCCTTCCCCCTCCTCTCTCGCCCAATCCCCTTCCCGCATTTCCAACCAATCCCCTCTCGGATTTAGCGAAGCGCGCCATCCTATTGAGTGAAGCCCCTGGAGGGTTCGGATTGGCCTCTTCTCCCGCCCAATCCCTTTCGCCTGTTTCCAACCAATCCTCGCCCAGCTTTCCAAACACCGCGCCATCCCATTCAGTGGAGCCCCTTCTTGATCGTGTCAGAAGCAAAGTGAAACATGAACCTCCGATATGCAGATGACACCACTCTGATGGCCGAAAGCGAGGAGGAGCTGAGGAGCCTTCTAATTAAGGTGAAAGAAGAAAGCGCAAAAGCCGGGTTGCAGCTAAACATCAAAAAAACCAAGATTATGGCAACAAGAATGATTGACAACTGGAAAATAGAGGGAGAAACCGTGGAGGCCGTGACAGGGTTTGTATTTCTAGGCGCAAAGATGAGTGCAGATGCAGACTGTGGCCAGGAAATCAGGAGACGCTTCCTTCTTGGGAGGAGAGCAATGTCCAGTCTCGATAAAATAGTAAAGAGTAGAGACATCAGACTGGCAACCAAGATCTGCCTAGTCAAAGCCATGGTATTCCCTGTAGTAACCTACGGATGTGAGAGCTGGACCTTAGGGAAGGCTGAGCGAAGGAAGATCGATGCTTTTGAGCTGTGGTGTTGGAGGAAAGTTCTGAGAGTGCCTTGGACTGCGAGAAGATCCAACCAGTCCATCCTCCAGGAAGTAAACCCCGACTGCTCACTGGAGGGAAGGATACTAGAGGCCAAGAGGAAGTCCTTTGGCCACATCATGAGGAGAAAGGTAAGCTTGGAGAAGACAATGATGCTGGGGAAAGTGGAAGGTAAAAGGAAGAGGGGCCGACCAAGGGCAAGATGGATGGGTGGCATCCTTGAAGCGACTGGACTGACCTTGAAGGAGCTGGGGGTGGTGACGGCCGACAGGGAGCTCTGGTGTGGGCTGGTCCATGAGGTCACGAAGAGTCGGAGATGACTGAACGAATGAACAACAACATCTATCTACCTATCTATCTACCGATCTATCTACCTATCTATCTACCTACCTGTCTACCTACCTACCTATTATCTACCTATCTACCTACCTATCTACCTACCTATCTATCTACCTATCAATCTATCTACCTATCTACCTACCTATCTACCTACCTATCTATCTACCTACCTATCTACCTACCTACCTATCTACCTACCTATCTACCTACCTATCTACCTATCTATCTATCTATCTATCTACCTACCTACCTATCTACCTACCTATCTATCTACCTATCTACCTATCAATCTATCTACCTACCTATCTACCTACCTATCTATCTACCTATCTACCTATCTATCTACCTACCTATCTACCTACCTATCTATCTACCTATCTATCTACCTACCTATCTACCTACCTATCTACCTACCTATCTACCTATTTATCTACCTACCTATCTATTTACCTATCTACCTACCTACCTATCTATCTACCTACCTACCGATCTACCTACCTATCTATCTACCTATCTACCTATCAATCTATCTACCTACCTATCTATCTACCTATCTACCTATCTACCTACCTATCTATCTACCTATCTACCTACCTATCTACCTATCTATCTACCTACCTACCTATCTATCTACCTACCTATCTACCTACCTATCTACCTACCTGTCTACCTATCTGTCTGTCTATCTATCTATCTATCTACCTACCTACCTACCTACCTACCTACCTATCTATCTACCTATCTATCTACCTATCTACCTACCTATCTACCTACCTGTCTGTCTATCTGTCTGTCTATCTACCTACCTACCTATCTACCTACCTATCTGTCTATCTATCTATCTACCTACCTATCTATCTACCTATCTGTCTATCTATCTACCTACCTATCTATCTACCTACCTACCTATCTACCTATCTGTCTATCTATCTACCTACCTATCTATCTACCTACCTACCTATCTACCTGTCTATCTATCTACCTACCTACCTACGTACCTACCTATCTATCTGTAAATGCTCTGTGCATAATGAGTACCTTAAAAACAAAAGAACCAATGAACGAAATCACACCAAATTTGGCAACAAAACGACTCACAACACAAGGAGTGACCACCACTCAAAAAATTATGATTTTGTCATTTGGGGGTTGTAGTTGCTGGGATTTATACTTTACCTACAATCAAAGAGCATTCTGAACTACACCAATGATGGAATTGGGCCAAACTTAGCACACAGGGCTCCCATGACTAACAGAAAAAACTGGAAGGGTTTGGTGGATATTGACATTGAGTTTGGGAATTATAGTTCACCCACATCCAGAGCACTGTGGACTCAAACAATGATGGATCTGGACCAAACTTGGCACGAATATTCCATATGCCTAAATATGAACACAGATGGAGTTTGGAGGAAATAGACCTTGACATTTGGGAGTTGTCGTTGCTGGGATTTATAGTTTACCTACAATCAAAGAGCATTGTGAACACCAGTGATGGAATTCAACCAAACATGGCATACAGGACTTCCATGACCAACAGAACACACTGGAAGGGTTTGGTGAGCATTGACCTTGAGTTTGGGAGTTGTAGTTCACCTACAACCAGAGAGCACTGTGGATTCAAACAATGATGGATATGGGCCAAAATTTACACTAATACTCAATATGCCCAAATGTGAACACTGGTTGAGTTTGGGAAAAATAGACTCTTGACATTTGGGAATTGTAGTTCCTGGGATTTATAGTTCACCTACAAACACAGAGCATTCTGAACCACACCAACGATAGAGTTGGGCCAAACCTCCCACACAGCACCCCCATGTGGGCCACGGCAACGTGTGGCAAGGGACGGCTAGTAGAATTATAAATATACTAGCCATCCCCTGCCAGGCGTTGCTGTGGCCCAGTCTGGTGATCTGGAAAATAAAGTAATGAGAAAGTGTTGGTTTCTAATCTATGTAATTTCTTTATGCAGAATGAATAAACAACAAAATAATAACAAATTGTTTTAAAGTGTTATTTGCACTACAAATAAGATATGTGAAGTGCATAGGAATTAATTCATGTTGTTTTCAAATTATAATCCAGCCCTTCAGGAGTTTGAGGGACTGTGATCTGGCCCTCTGTTTAAAAAATTTGAGGACCCCTGATAGACATGCTGTGAGAATGTGGCATGTCTCATTAAGAGCCACACCCACTGTTTTAATGTGGAGAGATATATTCTTCTGTTCTTCTGTTGTAGGCCAAAAACATCTGGGGACCCCAGGTTGAGAACCACTGGGCTAAGCAGTGTAATTTCTCCAGTGGTGTACGGTGCAGACACCCCGTGATAATGTGGCATGCCTCATTAAGAACCACATCCAATGTTTTAGCGTGGTGAGATGTGTTCCACACTGGGCATGCATACTCAGCAGCAGAGTAGCACAGCGCAAGGGCAGATGTTTTCACTGTGTCTGGTTGTAATCCCCAGGTTGTGCCAGTCAGCTTTCGTATGATATTGTTTCTAGCACCCACTTTTTGCTTGATGTTCAGGCAGTGCTTCTTGTAGGTCAGAGCATGGTCCAGAGTGACTCCCAGGTATTTGAGTGCGCTGCAGTGCTCCAGTGGGATTCCTTCCCAGGTAATCATCAGAGCTCGGGATGCTTGTCTGTTCTTAAAGTGAAAAGCACATGTCTGTGTTTTAGATGGATTAGGGATTAGCTGGTTTTCCCTGTAATAGCCAGTAAGAGCACCTAGAGCTTCAGAGAGCTTCTGCTCAACCATCTCAAAGCTCCCTTCTTGAGCGGTGATGGCACGATCATCAGCATAGATGAAACTCTCTGTCCCTTCTGGCAGTGGCTGGTCATTTGTGTAAATGTTGAACACTGATGGAGCAAGCATGCTCCCCTGAGGCAGGCCGTTCTTCTGTTTCCGCCATCTGCTTCTCTGGCCCTGGAACTCAACAAAAAAGCTCCTGTTTTGTAGCAGGTTTCCTATGAGGCGGCTGAGGTAGTAGTCCTTTGTGATACTATACATTTTTCTCAGGAGGAGGTGATGGTTTACAGTATCATAGGCTGCTGACAGGTCTATGAAGATAGCTCCTGTAAAGGGTTCATGAAGGTTGTTGTTCTCAAGCTCTGGTTGTCTGGCTATTGGTTTCTTTCCTACTTTGGTGGCAAAGTTGGGTTTCCCATTCTTCAAGAGTTGGTGTGCTATCTGATCTGTCTTTATGTTGGCATGGGTATTAGTTTGTGAGGGGTCGTTGCTCAACCGTCTCAGCAGCCTCCACGCCTTCTGGCTGCTTCTGCCCATGTCGACCTCTGTGATCAGCTTGATCCACTGTTCTTTCTTGGCTTCAGAGATGGAGGACACAATGTTCTACACTGCCTGAAGGGTTTGCTCACTAAATGGGTCTTCGTTGTGGAGCCTGTAATAGTTTTCCAATAAGGCAGCTGTTTCAGGAGTAATGCCCTGAAGGTACTTGGTTCTGCAGCCTCTCGGTATCGAGGCCCGTGAGCAGGTTTTCACTATTTCAATAAAATGCTCGTATTCCTCAGGGATTGGCGTGGCTGATGTGATCATGTCATCTAACATGTCTGAGAATTTAGTCCAATCTGCCTTTCTGAAGTTGTATCTTTGTTTAAATCGAACTTCCTGAGGCCTTATTGTTGGGAACAGTTGGCATATTATTGGTCGGTGCTGTGTGTTTGGGATTGGTGGTCCCACTGATTTGGTGCATTGCTGTACGATGCTGTCGCTCACAAATAGGTCTGGGTTATAACCTCGGTGCCATGGGGGACATGAGAGAAGCCTCCTCGCAGGATTGCAAGATATCCGGTGTCCCCTAGGCAACGTCTTCATAGACGGCTGATTCTCTCGATCCAGAAGCAACCAGAGACAGCTTCAGAAAGCTTCTGTTCAAGCATCTCTAAGCTCCCTGCTTGAGTGGTAATGGCACGATCATCAGTATAGATGAAACTCTCTGTCCCTTCTGGCAGTGGCTGGTCATTTGTGTAAATGTTGAACATGGATGGATGGAGTGAGCCCGCTCCTTCTTCTGTTTCCGCCATCTGCTTCTCTGGCCCTGGAACTCAGCAAAAAAGCTCCTGTTTTGTAGCAGGTTTCCTATGAGGCAGGTGAGACGGTAGTCCTTTGTGATATTATACATTTTCCTCAGGAGGAGGCGGTGGTTCACAGTATCATAGGCTGCTGACAGGTCTATGAAGACAGCTCCTGTGATCTGCTGCCTTTCAAAACCATCTTCTATGTGCTGAGTCAGGTTCAACACTTGCGATGTGCAGCTTTTGCCTTTCCTGAAGCCAGCTTGCTGTGGAATCAGACAGGGGTCTATTTTTTCCGTAATTCTATGCAAAATAAGTCTCTCCAGAACTTTGTAGAGGTGGCACAACAGGGAGTCTGTAGCTTTTTGGGTCATTGCGGTCTTTGCCTGGCTTCAAGATGGCAATGACTCTTGCTTTCCTCCAGATTTTGGGGATCTGACAGGATGCAGTCAAGTAGAAATGGTTATACAAGAAAATAATAAAACAATAAGATATTATTATTATTATTATTATTTACTCCATTTGTATACCGCATTTATCAGCCTGAAGCGGCGACTCAATGCGGTTTACAATAAAAATAAACAACACTGACAATATATAAGACACACATACACAAACGACACACATATAGTCATCAACGCCTCAATTAGAGTCAGATCCCGTTCTCACAGTCCTTTTTTCATTCCTTGTTCAAATGCCGTCTTACTGAGTTAGTTGTCATTACATAGTTATCCGAATGCCTGCTCATAGAGCCACGTCTTAACCCTCCTCCGAAACACCAGCAACGAAGGGGCCTGCCTGATGTCCACTGGTAGGGCATTCCATAGCCGAGGGGCCACCACCGAGAAGGCCCTGTCTCTCGTCCCCGCCAGCCGCGCTTATATATTATTATATATTAGTAATATTTGTTGTTGTTCATTCGTTCAGTCGTCTCCGACTCTTCGTGACCTCATGGACCAGCCCACGCCAGAGCTCCCTGTCGGCTGTTACCACCCCCAGCTCCCTCAAGGTCAGATCTTTAGTCTTGACATCTCGCCAATAACAACATCCAATTTGCCCTGGCTCATAGATCTTACATTCCAGGTTCCTATGGTGTGTTGATCTTTAGAGCATCGGATTCGTCGTTCACCTCCAGTACCGTCGGCCGCTAGCCTTCCTTTCGGCTTTGAGCTAGCTGCGTCATCACATCTGGGGCTAGTTGAACTTATCCTCTGCTCCTCCCCAGTAGCATTTTGGCAATCTTCCGACCTGGGAGTCCCATCTTCCAATGGCATACCGACATATCTCTGGTTGTACTGGTCCATTTAGTTTTCTTGGCAAGGATACTGGAGTGGTTTGCCATTGCCTTCCCCAGGGATCACGCTTGGTCTGACCTCTCTGCCACAACCGTCCCGTCTTGGGTGTCCCTTCACGGTTTCGCTCATGACATCATTGAGGTGCTCAAGCTCCAGCGCCCCGACAAGGCGGTGATCCTTTGCTGGAGATTAGTAATATTACATGTAATATAAAATATATAATTATTATATTGTATTATGACTATAATGTATCACATTATAATATTATTATCAATATGATATATGTATACAAAATATTATATTAGCACAGTACAATATTAGTATTATATATTACTATATTGTTGCTGGGGGGGAGGGGCTCCCAACTGATGACCTGATACTATAATATATATAATAAAATATAACATTTTATATTATATTATATTATATTACATCATAAGATAAGTACAATAATATAATTAAACAGAGTATAAAAAACAATACAATAATTTAGACAAGGACGAGCTAGGCCAAGCAGGAGGAGTGAAAAATATTACTATTTTAGCACCCACTTTTTGCTTGATAGCCAAGCAGTGCATCTTGTAAGTCAGAGCATGGATGTGGGTGTGCTGCAATGGTCCATTTCCAACCATTCCCCTCTCCGCTTTAGCTACCCGCGCCTTCCCATTGGTTGAGGCTCCTGAAGGCTTTGGCATGACCTCCTTTCTAGCCCAATCCCGTCCGTCCATTTCCAACCAATCCCCTCTCCGCTTTAGCTGCCCGCGCCATCCCATTCGTTGAAGCCATATAGCGTTGCGAATGGAAGGCCAGCTCTCATTGGGCGGGTAGGATGTTACCGCCGAAAGGAGGCCTGCCATTGGTGGGAGCTGGAGTTGCTACTCCCAAGGAGGCTTCGGACGGAGGAGTAGGCCCCGCTGCGGGTTTCTATGGCGGAAAGGTAGGTAAGTGGGCCTTTGCCTTCCTTCTCCTGAGGGGAAAAATGGGATAAGGAGAAGGAGAAACGTAAGCATAAGCAGCCCTAATGGGTGAAATGTTCATTGATTCTAAACAAGGGAATATGTCCTTCATGAACTCTGTGGTAATGAGTGTTGCTCACATTGCAGTAATCTTATGTTAGGTAAAGGTAAAGGTTTTCCCCTGACATGATGTCCAGTCGTGTCCAACTCTGTGGGTTGGTGCTCATCTCCATTTCTAAGCCAAAGAGCCAATATATATATTATATTGTGTATTATATTACTATTAGTATTATTATACACACACATATATATGCTGTATATATCTTATTAGAGGAAGTGAAATAATTAAGGTAATGGCGCTCCATGCAGTCATGCCGGACACATGACCTTGGAGGTGTCTACGGACAACGCCGGCTCTTCGGCTTAGAAATAGAGATGAGCTCAAAGCCAACCTTAAAAACTCTGGCATAGACACTGAGAACTGGGAAGCCCTGGCCCGTGAGCGCTCCAGCTGGAGGTCAGCTGTGACCAGCAGTGCTGCAGAATTTGAAGAGGCACGAATGGAGGGGGAAAGAGAGAAACGTGCCAAGAGGAAGGCGCGTCAAGCCAACCCCGACCGAGACCACCTTCCACCTGGAAACCAATGCCTTCACTGCAGAACAAGATGAAGATCAAGAATAGGGCTCCACAACCACCTACGAACCCATCCCCAGGACACCGAACTTGGAGGACTATCATCCTTGGACTACGAGGGATCGCCTACGTAAGTAAGTAAGGAAATGAGCACCAACCCCCAGAGTCGGACACGACTGGACTTCATGTCAGGGGAAAACCGTCATGTCAGGGGAACGAGGGACAGGGCCTTCTTGGTGGTGGCCCCACGACTCTGGAACTCCCTCCCCAAGGACATCAGGCATGCCCCAACACTGGCAGTCTTTAGAAGGAGCTTGAAAACATGGATGTTCCAGTGTGCCTTCCCAGATTAAGGTATCCGAAGCAATTTGTCCCAAATGTACTTTACAAGAGAGTTAGAATTGTCTGCACACCCACTTATCCCTAAAATATCCATCCTATTTCACCTGGACATGCCCAGCATTTTTTAAAAATTTTAACCATTACATTTGGCTCTGCCACAGGTTTTTAAATACGTCGTGATTTTTGTTATTGTTTTGCTTTGCTATGAGTTATTTTTGCTGTATTGTTGTTGTTGTGTTTTTTGTTTCTGATGTATTTGGGCTCGGCCTCTTGTAAGCCACACCGAGTCCTGCGGGAGATGGTAGCGGGGTATAAATAAAGATTTATTATTATTATTATTATTATTATTATTAGTGTAGGTATGTAGAATACTATTGCATAATATTATATTATATTATTAAGATACGATACCATCTAAGTTTTATTTATTTATTTACATCATTTATATGCTGCCCTTCTCACCCCGAAGGGGACTCAGAGCAGCTTACAAGTTATATGTACATACAATATATTATATTATTAGCATAGCACAATATTAGTATTATATATTACTATGTTGTACTATACCACTATACTGTAATATTATTAGTAATATTACATGTAATATAAAATATATAATTATTATATTATATAATTAGTAGTAATATATTACATTATAATATAATATTATATCAATATTATATGTGTATTCAATATATTATATTATTAGCACAGTACAATATTAGTATTATATATTACTATGTTGTACTATATCCCTATACTGTAATATTGTTAGTAATATTACACATAATATGAAATATATAATTATTATATTGTATTATAACTAGTATTATATAGTGTTACATTATAATATATCAATATTATGTGTGCATGCAATATATTATACTATTAGCATAGCACAATATTAGTATTATATATTACTATGTTGTACTATACCACTATACTGTAATATTGTTAGTAATATTACATGTAATATAAAATATATAATTATTATATTGTATTATGACTAGTATTATGTTGTATCACATTATAATATTATTATCAATATGATATATGTATTTGTTGTTCATTCGTTCAGTCGTCTCCGACTCTTCGTGACCTCATGGACCAGCCTACGCCAGAGCTCCCTGTCGGCCGTTACCACCCCCAGCTCCTTCAAGGTCAGTCCAGTAACTTCAAGGATGCCATCCATTCCTCTTGCCCTTGGTCGGCCCCTCTTCCTTTTGCCTTCCAGTTTCCCCAGCATAATGTCTTCTCTAGCTTTGCTGTCTCCTCATGATGTGGCCAAAGTACTTCAACTTTGTCTCTAGTATCCTTTCCTCCAGTGAGCAGTCGGGCTTTATTTCCTGGAGGATGGACTGGTTGGATCTTCTCGCAGTCCAAGGCACTCTCAGAACTTTCCTCCAACACCACAGCTCAAAAGCATCGATCTTCCTTCGCGCAGCCTTCCCTAAGGTCCAGCTCTCACATCCGTAGGTTACTACAGGGAATACCATGGCTTTGACTAGGCGGATCTTTGTTGCCAGTCTGATGTCTCTACTCTTCACTATTTTATCGAGACTGGACATTGCTCTCCTCCCAAGAAGTAAGCGTTCTGATTTCCTGGCTACAGTCTGCATCTGCAGTAATCTTTGCACCTAGAAATACAAAGTCTGTCACGGCCTCCACGGTTTCTCCCTCTATTTTCCAGTTGTCAATAATTCTTGTTGCCATAATCTTGGTTTTTTTTGACGTTTAGCTGCAACCCGGCTTTTGCGCTTTCTTCTTTCACCTTGATTAGAAGGCTCCTCAGCTCCTCCTCGCTTTCGGCCATCAGAGTGGTGTCATCTGCATATCTGAGGTTGTTAATGTTTCTTCCAGCAATTTTCACCCCAGCTTTGCATTCATCCAGCCCCACACATCGCATGATGTGTTCTGCATACAAGTTAAAAAGGTTGGGTGAGAGGATGCAGCCTTGCCGTACGCCTTTCCCAATCTTGAACCACTCTGTTGTTCCATGGTCAGTTCTTACTGTTGCTACTTGGTCCTTGTACAGATTCCTCAGGAGAGAGACAAGGTGGCTTGGGATGGCCATCCCACTAAGAACTTGCCACAATTTATTATGATCCACACAGTCAAAGGCTTTAGAATAGTCAATGAAGCAGAAGTAGATGTTTTTCTGAAACTCCCTGCCTTTCTCCATTATCCAGCGGATATTGGCAATTTGGTCTCTCGTTCCTCTGCCTTTTCTAAACCCAGCTTGAACATCTGGCAACTCTCTCTCCATGTATTGCTGGAGGCTTCCTTGCAGGATCTTGAGCATTACCTTACTGGCATGAGAAATAAGGGCCACTGTACGGAAGTTGGAGCAGTCTTTCGCATTTCCCTTTTTTGGTATGGGGATATAAGTTGATTTTTTCCAGTCTGATGGCCATTCTTGTGTTTTCCATATTTGCTGGCATATGGCATGCATCACCTTGACAGCATCATCTTTCAAGATTTTAAACAGTTCAGCTGGGATCCCGTTGTCTCCTGCTGCCTTGTTGTTAGCAATGCTTCTTAAGGCCCATTCAACCTCACTCCTCAGGATGTCTGGTTCTAATTCACTCACCACACCATCAAAGCTATCCTTGATATTATTATCCTTTCTATACAGATCTTCTGTATAGTCTCACCATCTTCTCTTAATCTCTTCAGCTTCTGTTAAGACCCAGCTATCTTTGTTTTTGATCATGCCCATTTTTTACCTGAAATTTACCTCTGATGTTTCTAATTTTTTGAAAAGAACTATTGTCTTTCCTATTCTATTGTCTTCTTCCACTTCCATGCATTGCTTATTTAAAAATAGTTCCTTATATCTTCTGGCTAACCTCTGGAATTGCGCATTTAACTGGGCATATCTCCCCTTATCCCTGTTTCCTTTTGCTTTCCTCCTTTCTTGGGCTACTTCCAGTGTCTCAGCAGCCACCATTTTGCCTTCTTGGTTTTCTTTTTCTTTGGGACGTACTTTGTTGCCGCCTCCTGAACAATGTCTCGGACTTCTGTCCATAGTTCTTCTGGGACTCTGTTTACTAAATCTAGTCCTTCAAATCTGTTCTTCACTTCCACTGTATCTTCGCTAGGAATGTTAGTGAGATCATATCTAACTGGTCTGTGTATTTTCCCTGATCTCTTTAGTTTTATTCTAAATTGAGCAATAAGAAGTTCGTGATCTGAGCTACAGTCAGCCCCAGGTCTTGTTTTCACCGACTGGATGGATGTCCGCCACCTTTGGCTGCAAAGGATGTAGTCAATCTGATTTCGGTGCTGACCATCTGGTGAGGTCCATGTGTAAAGCCGTCTTTTAGGTTGTTGGAAGAGAGTATTCGTTATACACAGCGAGTTTTCCTGGCAAAATTCTATCAGCCTGCGTCCCGCTTCATTTTGTTCTCCCAGACCATGCTTGCCTGTGATCCCTGTTGTCATTTGACTTCCCACTTATACAAAATATTATATTATTAGCACAGTACAATATTAGTATTATATATTACTATATTGTTGCTGGGGGGGAGGGGCTCCCAACTGATGACCTGATACTATAATATATATAATAAAATATAACATTTTATATTATATTATATTATATTATTATTATATTTATTGTGTCAGAAGCAAGTTGAGTATACAGTTGAAATGCATTTAAAAACACAAAGTTTTTTTTTTAAAAAACTTGGTATTATGCTAAATGTCATTTGACCTGAAGCTGGCCACTTGGAGTGCCTCGGTGTTGCTGTGAGAAGGTCCTTTGTTGTGCATGTGGCAGGGCTCAAGTTGCATTGTAGTAGGTGGTCTGTGGTTTGCTGTTCTCCACACTCACATGTCATAGGCTCCACTTTGTGGCCAAATTTCTTAAGGTTGGCTCTGCATCTCGTATGCCAGAGGGCAGCCTGTTCATCGCCTTCCAAGTCATCCAGTGTTCTGTGTGCCCAGCAGGGAATCTCTCATCTGGTCTCAGCCACTGATTAAGATGCAGGATTTTAACCTGCCACTTTTGGACTCTCACTTGCTGAAGTGTTCCTGCAAGTATCTCTCTCGATCTTAGGAAGCTGTTTCCTGAATTAAGCAATTGGCATGCTGGCTGATATCTGAACAAAGGATGAGCCGGAGATGTCACTGCCTTGTTCCTTTCATTACTGGCTGCTACTTTCTGACGGATGTCAGATGGTGCAATACTGGCTAAACAGTATAATTTCTCCAGCGATGTAGGGTGTATAGTGTATAAATAAATAAATAAATAATATATTTTAACAGCTATTAAAGATATTACAGATACTAATCATTTGTCCAGGGTCACCCAATAGGTTTAGCTGGCATGTTTGGAGGAGTCACCACAACATGAGGGACCGTATTAAGGGGTTGCAGCATTAAGAAGGTTGAGAACCACTGTTATAGTTCTTTTGCACAGAAATCCACTGGTGGTTTTCGTTTCCAAACTTGTGCAGCCTAGTTTATTATTTATTTATTTATTATTTATTTATTAACTGTGCTTATAGACCGCGGTTCTAAGCCCACAGGGCGACTCACCGCGGTGTACAACATGGAGCAAATTGCAAAACATAATCCAACAACAATCTAGCAATATCAAACAACATCAAAACAGCATCATCAATAACAACAGCAGTCTCAATATTAAAATACAAATTACAAAAGGTCATTCATGTCGTCTCATCGTTAAGCCAAAATCCAATATCGTTTTCCGTTGTACCATTCCTGTCGTCATTGCCGTTTATTGCACTTCTTGTCCGAACGCCTTCTCGAACAACCATGTTTTTAGTTTCTTGCGGAATGTCATAAGGGAGGGAGCCAGTCTGATGTCCACGGGAAGGGTGTTCCACAGCCGAGGAGCCACCACCGAGAAGGCCCTGTCTCGTCCCCACCAGGCGTGCCTGTGAGGCAGGTGGGATCAAGAGCAGGGCCTCCCCGGACGATCTCAAAGTCCTCGTGGGCTCATAGGCCGAGATGTGGTCAGAGAGGTATCTTGGGCCGGAACCGTTTAGGGCTTTGTAGGCCAACGCCAGCACCTTGATTTGAGCCTGGTAGCAGATCGGCAGCCAATGGAGCTGGCACAGCAAGGGCGTTGTATGCTCCCTGCGTCCTGCTCCTGTTAGTAACATGGCTGCCGCACGCTGGACCAGTTGAAGCTTCCGGGCCGTCTTCAAGGGCAACCCCACGTAGAGAGCGTTGCAGTAGTCTAAGCGGGATGTAACCAGAGCGTGGACTACCGTGGCCAAGTCAGACTTCCCAAGGTACAGGCGCAGCTGGCGCACGAGTTTTAATTGTGCAAAAGCTCTCCCGGCCACCGCTGAGACCTGGGGTTCCAGGCTCAGCGATGAGTCCAGGATCACTCCCAAGCTGCGAACCTGCACCTTCAGGGGGAGTGTGACCCCGTCGAGCACAGCCAGTAACCCTATGCCTGTTCGGCCTTGAGACTGACCAGAAGGACCTCTGTCTTGTCTGCATTCAATTTCAATTTGTTCGCCCTCATCCAGACCATCACAGCGGCCAGGCACCAGTTCAGGACCTCGACAGCCTCCTTAGTAGCAGGTGGAAAGGAGTGACAGAGTTGGACATCATCTGCGTACAGATGGCACCACACCCCGAAACTCCGGATGATCTCACCCAGCGGCTTCATGTAGATATTAAACAGCATGGGGGACAGTATAGAGCCCTGTGGAACCCCACAAGTCAAAGGTTGTGGTGTTGAACAGGTGTCCCCCAATAACACCTTCTGGGTGTGGCCCTCCAGGAATGACCGGAGCCACTGTAAAACAGTGTCTCCGAGACCCATCCTCGCAAGGCGCTCCAGAAGGATACCGTGGTCGACGGTATCGAAGGCCGCTGAGAGGTCCAGCAGCACCAACAGGGACACACTCCCCCTGTCGAGCTCCCGGCGCAGATCATCCACTAAGGCGACCAAGACTGTCTCAGTTCCATGTCCCGGTTGAAACCAGACTGTGCCGAATCCAGATAATCCGTGTCTCCCAAGAATACCTGGAGTTGTGAGGCCACCACACGTTCCAGGACTTTGCCCAAAAAGGGGAGATTGGAAACTGGCCGATAGTTGTCGAATTTAGTGGGGTCCAGTGATGGTTTCTTCAACAGCGGTTTTATTATAGCTTGTTTTAAGCTCGCTGGAATCTTGCCTTCCCGAAGGGAGGCATTAACCACCACCGTTACCCACTCAGCCAATCCCCCTCTGGCCTCCTTCAGAAGCCAGGATGGGCAGGGGTCTAGGATGGACGTGGTGGGCCTCATTCCTCCAAGTATCTTGTCCACATCCTCGGGCTTCACCAATTGAAATGAATCCATCAAAATAGGACAAGCAGGTGCTCGTGTTACATCCTCAGAGACTGCATTTAATATGGTGTCCAGACCAGAACGGATCAAAGCGACTTTGTCTGCAAAGTTTAGAAATGAAATGAGTACAGTTTCTGTGCAGAGAGCAGGAATAATCTTGATCCTAACCCTTTTCTTTTGCACGCAGGTTACACCATCATGGATGGAGGAGAAGGTAGTGCTGACTTAGTGATCAACAAAAGGTTTGTGTCGGAGTCAGAGCTCGAAGAGCGACGTAAGCGGAGGCAGGAAGAATGGGAGAAGGTCCGAAAACCTGAAGATCCTGAAGGTATTTGATTGTCATGGGTTTTCTGAAAAGGGACGCTCTGAGAACTTTGAGTATAGTCATGCGGCCAGTTAGAACTCCCAAGTTGCCTCTGCAGCACTTTCATGCATAATGCTGACCTGAAAGACTAGACTGATGATGTATTACTTTGGCTGCATAATGACAAAAACAAAAACAAAAAAAACCCCACAGCTGTCCTAAGTCTTTAAGACCTGGACAGAATGCCTGAGGGTAGAGGTACTTGGAGTCTCCCATTCATAGGGACACCAAAAGTTGAAAGCAACTACCAACAGCGAACTATCTACATCGTGGAAAATATAGTGTTGTTAGGCTTCTGAGCAGCTGCTTACCTGGTTCTCCCTTATAGAGTGCTTGTAAGATTGCCTAATAAATTCATATCTGCTGAAGTTTTTTTTTCTTTTTAATAGCTAACGGAGTAAGCATTTGGGCTAATGACCTTGCAACCTCTCAAGACTGGTTATTGAGCCTTCCAGAGAATGTTTGTTTGTTTGTTTGTTTATTTATTTATTTATTTCGAACATTTTTACCCCACCCTTCTCAAGCCCTGGGGGGACTCAGGGCGGCTTACAATTGGCAACAATTCAATGCCGTCATAAAATACAATAGCAAAAATAACAAAACCATGAACATTAAAATAAAAATTAAACAGTATACTTATGATCCATTTAGCTATTGCCAGTCTGGTGACTATTTATCTAGCCATACACTAATGATAACTCTGCTTCACTTATCCAAATCCACTTCCAAGCCATAGTCAAATATTATCCATTGTCCTTTAACCTGATTGCTCGAAGGCCTGGTCCCACAACCACGATTTTACCTCCTTTCTGAAAGTGAGGAGGGATGACAATGATCTATTTCCCCGGGAAGTGTATTCCACAGGTGGGGGGCTACCACCGAGAAGGCCGTGTCCCTCGTCCCCGCCAAACATATTTGAGACAACGGCGGGGCTGAGAGCAGGGCCTCCCCAGAGGATTTTAAGCTCAGAGGTGGGACATAGAAGGAGATACGTTCAGACAGGTATGCTGGACTGGAGCCGTATAGGGTTTTATAGGCCAGAATGTTCCAAAAGTTAACTGGATACTTTGGTCTGGAAACACATGTTCGTACTGTTGTTTGTATGACATTGGTGTATTGTAAGCGGCTTTGGATCCCGTGAGGGAGCAAAGTGAGATATAAATAAAGATTATTATTATTTGAAACACAACAAGATGAGTCCACAGTAGACACTTTGCTGGCTGTTGAATTGGATCACACGTTGGACCTTTCCCAAGTGTCTAGGACTGTGTGATGTATCGGCAAATAATGCGTGCAGATCCCAGTAAGGTGGCCTTCTGCAACTGGCAGATGGTAATCTTGTCAGCGCTGATTGTGTTTAAGTGCAAGCCAAGGTCTTTAAGCACTGCACCCAGTGTGCCGATCACCACTGAGACTCCCTTGACTGGCTTGTGCCAGAGTATTTGCAGTTCGATCTTTAAGTCCTCATATCATGTCAACTTTTCCAGTTGTTCCTCTGCAATCCTGCTGTCACCTGGGATTGCAACATCGACGATCCATACTTTGTTTTTTAACACGATTGTGAGGTCAGGAGTATTATGCTCCAAAACTCTGTCTGTCTTTATCCAGAAGTCCCATAAGAGTTTAGCGTTTTCATTCTCTGTAACTTTTTCCGGCTTGTGATCCACCAGTTCTTTGTTGCAGGCAGATAGTGTTTGTGGCACAACTTCCAATGAATCATCTGAGCAACGGTGTTGTGCCTCTGCTTGAAGTCTGTCTGTGCGATCTTCTTGCAGCAGCTGAGGATGGGATTTATTGTTTCATCTGATTCCTTGCAGAGTCTATATTTGGGATCTGTCATCGACTTTTCAATTCTGGCTTTGATGGCATTGGTTCGAATGACTTGTTCTTGGGCTGCCAGAATCATGCCCTCCTTTGTCTCCTTTTTCGGATTATTGTTATTATTATTATTATTGACACAAAAGCACAGTATGTCACAGCAAATGAGATCTAGATGCTGGATTTCGTATCACAAAATCACAAGTCGAACACTTCCCAAGCTTCTAAGACTGTGATGTATTTTCGAATGATGCGCACAGATCCAAGTCAGGTGGCCTTTTGCAGTTGACAGACCGTAATTTTGTCGATGTTTATTGTTTCCAAATGCCGGCTGAGATCTTTTGGCATGGCACCCAGTGTGCCAATGACCACTGGGACCACCCATACAGGTTTATGCCAAAGCCTTTGCAGTTCGATTTTGAGGTCTTGATAGCGGCTGAGTTTTTCCTCTTGTTTTCCTCAATGCGACTGTCACCTGGAATGGCGACATCAATAATCCAGACTTTTTTCTTTTCCATAATCGTGATGTCTGGTGTATTGTGTTCCAAAACTTTGTCAGTATTATTCTTCTTCTTCTTCTTATTATTATTAATTAACTGTACTGTAATTGGTTTGCTTCAAACTGATGATCTGCAAAATGTGTTCCTTCTCTGCTTCCCAGAATGTCCTGAGGAAGTATATGACCCCCGGTCGCTGTATGAACGGCTTCAAGAGCAGAAGGACAAGAAGCAGCAGGAATTTGAAGAGCAGTTCAAGTTCAGTAAGTGTTTCTGTGAAGCCACCTTACTCCTGTGAAATCTCCAGTTCCTTTACATCTCTCGTTTTCTTGTGGAATTTTGTCCCAAAATGTCGACGTTTTGCTCACACAAACCACTTTTGGACCTTCAGATCTATTTTTAATACCTTCCTTGTGTATCCAAACAACTGAACACAGATCCTTTAGAAGTGCATGTGAGGTGTTCATGGGCTTCCCTTGCTTTTGAAAATAAATACCTGTGTATACTCGAGTATAAGCCGACCCAAATATAAGTTGAGGCACCTAATTCTACCACAAAAAACTGGGAAAATGTATTGAATGAGTATAAGTCAAGGGTGGGAAATGCAGCAGCTACTAGTAAATTTCAAAATAAAAACAGATACCAATAAAATTACATTAATTGAGGTATCCGTAGGTTAAATGTTTTTGAATATTTACATAAAACTAATTTAAGGTAAGACTGTCCAACTCTGATTCAACCATTATTATAATCTTCTTCAATGTAAATGTGTTTATGTATTCTTCCAATAATAAGAAAGAGAGTAAAATAATAAATGTAATGAAAATAATAATAGAGTAAAATAATGGAAATGTAGTAATAACAGTAATAATAGAGTAAAATAAAAAGGTAATAATAATAATATAGTAAAAAAATAAATGTAATAACAACAATAATAGAGAAAAGTAATAAATGTAATAATAATAATAATAAATAGAGAAAAATAATACGTATTTATTTATTTATTTATTTATTTGCAGTATCTCTATTCCGCCCTTCTCACCCTGCAGGGGACTCAGGGCGGATTACAGTGTACACATATATGGCAAACATTCAATGCCAATTTGACATACAACGTATACAGACATACACAGAGGCTATTTAACTTTTTCTGGCCGCCAGGGGAGCTGTCGCTTTCATTGTCCATCTGTGACACTGATGAAGCACTTCCGCATTCCCCGCATGCTTTTTTTGCTGGAGTGCTTTGCTGGAGTCTTTTTTATGGCCTCATAAATTATTTAATTTAGCCTCCCCACACAAGGTGGTACCTAATTTTCCTACTTGACAGATGCAACTGTCTTTTGGGTTGCAAAGGTTGACAACAGGCTACACAATTGGTTGGAAGCCCACTCCAACCCGAGCTGGCTTCGAACTCATGACCTTTTGGTCAGAGTGATCTTAATGCAGCTGACACTCAGCCAGCTGCGCCATTTATATGCCGCCCTTCTCACCCCGAAGGGGACTCAGAGCGGCTTACAAGATATATTTTCATTCAGTATATTATATTATTGGCCTAGTACAATATCAGTTTTATATTTTACTATATTGCACTATATACCATTATATTGTAATATTATTAGTAATATTACATGTACTGTAAATATATAGTTATAATTATAATATTGTATTATAGTATAATTTTTATACAATATAATACATACAATAATACTATAATACAATATTATAATAATGCAATATTGATACATACAATAATAAATAGAGAAAAATAATAAATTTAATAATAATAACAAATCAAGTAAAATGATAATTGTAATAGTAATAATAATAATATCAAAGAGAGTAAAATGATAAATGTAATTGTAATAATAATAATAATCGAGAAAAATAATAAATAACTTTGTTTTGAGTATAACCCAAGGGAAGCTTTTGCAGCCTGCAGAAAGGGCTGAAAAACTCGACTTGTACTCTAGTATATACAGTAAATGTAAATAAATAAATAAAATAAAGTACCCTGTTTCCCCAAAGGTAAGACAGGGTTTATGCTCCCTTTTGCTTCAAAATATGTGTTAGGGCTTATATCTAGACACTATTTAAATTGACTTTTTAAATGAACTGTAAACTAGGGCTTATTTTTGAAGTAGGGCTTATATTTAGAGCTACCTCAAAATCCTGAAAAAATCCTGCTAGGGAGGTCTTATTTTTGGGGAAACAGGGCAACAGCTTCCCAATGTAGAGTTGACATGGAACCAAGATTGTTCTCGCATTTTCCCCAGAGAACATGGTCAGGGGGCTGGACGAAGACGAGACCAAGTTCCTCGATGAAGTTTCGCGGCAGCAAGTGCTGATAGAAAAGCAGCGCCGAGAGGAAGACCTCAAAGAGCTGAATGAGTACAGAATATCCTTCTCAGTGATGCATGTCTTTCCTCTTGTTCCAGCTTAAGAGGTAAAAAAGGGCAGGTGGACTTTTTAGCTCTGAGATGTGTGCCATCATGACGTTTGTCTGCCTGTCTTCCCAAGAGATTTGCAGGAATTTTTGGAGGCAGTTCTGATGGAATAATTCCAGGAGTTGAGTGTGACGTCTGTAGACAGTCCATGTTTCGCAGGCGTAGAGCAGGGTTGGGAGGACAATAGCTTTATAAACAAAGCACCTTGGTCTCCCTATGGATGTCATGGCCCTCAAACACTCTCTGCTTCATTCGGGAAAATGCTGCACACGCAGAGTTCAGGCGGTGTTGTATTTCAGTGTCGATGTTGACTTTGGTGGAGAGGTGGCTGCCAAGGTGGAGGAAGTGGTCAACATTTTCTAATGTTACACCATTAAGCTGTATTTCTGGCATTGCAGAGGACTGGCTGGTGACTGGTGGAAGAGCACTTTGGTTTTCTCAATGTTCAATGAGAGGCCGAGCTTCTCGTATGCTTCTGCAAAGATGTTTAGAGTAGCTTGTAGGTCTCCTTCTGAATGTGCACAGACTACGTTATCATCAAGATATTGGAGTTCTATTACAGACTAGCCATCCCCTGCCACACTGTGGCCCAATCTGTGTATATGTGTTTTGTGTGTATATATATACATGTGTGTGTGTGTGTATATATTTGTGTATATGTGTATATATGTGTGTTTGTGTATATATGTGGTTTTGCGTATGCGTTGTAATGTATTGGGGGGGGGCTTTTAAAAGTCTTTTCTGCTGTGTTTTTCACTGTTTTATGAGTAATGGTCACTCCTTGGCCTGATAGGTGTATTGTGTCCAAATTTCATGTCAATTTGTCCAGTGTTTTTTGAGTTATGTTAATTCCACAAACAAACATTACATTTTTATTTATATAGACTAGCCATTGCTGTGACCCACTCTGGTGGTCATGGGGGTTCTGTGTGGGAGGTTTGGCCCAATTCTATCGTTGGTGGGGTTCAGAAGGCTCTGTGATTGCAGGTGAACTATAAATCCCAGCAACTACAACTCCCAAATGCCAAGATTCTATTTTCCCCAAACTCCACCAGTGTTCACATTTGGGCATATTGAGTATTCTTGTAGAGTTTGGTCCAGATCCACCATTGTGTGAGTCCACAGTGATCTCTGGATGTGAACTACAACTCCAAAATCAAAGGACACTCCCCTCCAAACCCTTCCAGTATTTTCTGTTGGTCATGAGAGAACTGTGTGCCAAGCTTGGTTCAATTCCATCGTTGGTGGGGTTCAGAATGCTCTTTGATTGAAGGTGAACTATAAATCCCAGCAACTACAACTCCCAAATGACAAAATCTATTTTTTTGAGTGAAGGACATACATTGGGTTGTTAGGTGTCTTGTGTCCAAATGTGATGTCAATTCGTCCAGTGGTTTTTGAGTTCTGTTAATTCCACAAACGAACATTGCATTTTTATTTATATAGATATTATAGGAGTCTGCTTTCAAAGTAAGGATTTTGAATGTAAGCACAATTAATCAGGAAAAAAACACTTTCAAACCAGGAACAAAACATTTTTCAGATTTCGTTACATAGTCTTATCAATGGAGTAGAAAATCTATTCCAGATTTTAATCCAGGTTTAAAGGAGGTTTTCAAATTTTTGAACCACTTTCTCAAATATCATCAGCAATTTGGAGGGCTCGTTTGAAGCTAATGCATGCACCTCTTGCCCAGTTTAACAGACATTGCATCCATCAGTGATTGTATTTAGCAGAGTGCTTTACAAACTGAGGCATTTTGAGGGAATCATAGTAGTAAGACCCTATTTTTATTGAAGTATTTCCTGACTAAAGTGTGCCTGAAAACCTCTCTCCCCTTTGCCCTTGTGTTTTTTTTTTTCCTGAGGCAAATTAACATGTCCTAGATGCTTTGCTTTGCCCGGGAGCATTGATGTGCTCAGATCATGTGGACTTCAAGAAAGAAGCCTCTGCTTGTGCCCAGATGCAGATATGCTGCAGATCGCCATATATTGTTTTATGCAGTACTAGCCATCCCCTGCCACACGTTGCTGTGGCCCAATCTGTGTATATGTGTTTTTTGTGTGTATATATACATATATGTGTGTGTATATACTTTTGTGTATATGTGTATATATGTGTGTTTGTGTATATACATGGTTTTGTGTATGTGTTGTAATTTATTTATTTATTTGTACATTTATATGCCGCCCTTCTCACCCCGAAGGGGACTCAGAGCGGCTTACAAGATATATCTATATATATAAGAATGTGAATGTCATCCTTAGGTGGTCAAAAACTCAGAAACCACTAGACCAAATCTCACCAACATTGCCCTGCTGATACCTCATCCCCCAAGGTATGACCAACAACCCTCGCCATTCCTCAACACAACAAAACAAACTCACAGTTACCGAAAAACACGGAGCATGCGCAGAGGCCTCGGGAGGAATACCATGAGGAGGAAGGACTCCATTTCCCTGCTTGCCTCGCACCCACATTGTTTCATACCTGGAGTTCCTGTACTTTCTAAGGGCCACACTCTTCTCCTCTTCTGTGTGTGTGCTCAATGCCACTACTTTGTCATTCCTTTCTTTCTCATACCATCACACTATGCCACAGCAATGTGTGGCAGGGTCAGCTAGTATATATATATATAAAGATATAGATAGATAGATAGATAGATAGATAGATAGATAGATACCGTATATACTCGAGTATAAGCCGACCCGAATATAAGCCGAGGCACCTAATTTTACCACAAAAAACTGGGAAAACATATTGACTCGAGTATAAGCTGAGGGTGGGAAATGCAGCATTTATGGGTCAATTTCAAAATAAAAATAGATACTAATAAAATTACATTAATTGAGGTACCAGTTGGTTAAATGTTTTTGAATATTTGCGTAAAATCGTAATTCAACATAAGACTGTCCAACTCTGATTCAACCATTATTCTCATCTTCTTCAATGTAAAGATGCTTACGTATCCTTCCAATAATAATAAATAGAGTAAAATAATAATAAAAGTAATAATAATAGAGTAAAATAATAAATGTAATAATAACAATAATAGAGTAAAATAATAAATGTATTAATAACAATAATAAAGTAAAACAACAACAACTATAATAACAACAACAAAGTAAAATAATAAATAATCTTGACTCGAATATAAACCGCGGGAGACTTTTTCAGCCTAAAAACAGGACTGAAAAACTAGGCTTATACTTGAGTATATAAAGTAGATAGATAAATAGATAGATAGATAGATAGATAGATAGACACACACACACACACACACACACACATTCTACCATGAGCACAGTACAATATCAACGTTATACATCATTATATTTTACTATACAATTATATTGTAATATTATTAGTAATATTACATGTAATATAAATATATAATAATAATATATTATTATTATACTGTATTATAATATTATAAATGTATGTATATACAATATATATTATATTATAAATTAACATAGCACAGGAGACAAGGTGGAACAATGTATTTTTTTGGGGGGGGGGTTGGCTTTTAAAGTCTTTTCTGCTGCGTTTTTCAGTGTTCTTATGAGTAATGGTCACTCCTTGGCCTGATAGGTGTATCGTGTCCAAATTTCATGTCAATTCGTCCAGTGGTTTTTGAGGTCTGTTAATCCCACAAACGAACATTGACATTTTTATTTATATAGATTTTGCTAAAGGGAAAGGTCCCAGACAGGAATGTGTGGGAGATGCTAACAGTGCCTCTTATGTCCTATCTACCAGTCTGTCCATCCTTCTATGCGAGGTCCATAATAGCTCAATTTCCATATATTTGATCGTTTTCTTTGCTTGTTTTTGCTTCTGCTTGATTTATTAAGTGTGACAATTGGGCATTTGTGGGATTTATATTTAGTTCCTGCTTCAGGGTGGGCTGATGGGGGAGTATGAGGATGAAGCGGCTGCTGTGCTCATTGGGTCATTCAGGTCCAGCTGTGCCTTGCTGGAGGCCAAAATGAGAAACTTGGTGGTTGTCTTCCTGCGTTGGTTGAGAAATGTGCTCATCCTGGCATGTGCATGGCACGGCTCTTTGGCTACGTATGCATTTAGCGAAGCCACTCCAAACAGGCATTTTTCAGTACAGAAAGGGTCAATGGAAGCAAGAAACAAAGGTGTAAACAAGCCAATTTGCATGATTTGGGATGTATATGCAAGGCATCTCACAGTGTGTTAGATACTCTATAACCCTAGCTGTAGTTTGTTTATTTATTTACTATATCTGTGTACAAACCCACACGATCTCTTCGATCATCTGGAGAGGCCCTGCTCACACTCGCCACAATTGGTGGCGATGAGGGAGAGGGCCTTCTCAGTGGTGGCCCCTTGACTCTGGAATTCACTTCCTAAGGACATCAGACATGCCCCAACGTTGGCAGTCTTTAGGAGGAGGCTGAAAACGTGGTTGTTCCAGTGTGCCTTCCCAGAATAGGAAAACTCTTAGCAATATGTCCTCAAATGCACTTTAATACTGAATTAGGATTGTCTACATGCCCTCATCTTTCTTTGAAAACCCTATCCTAGTTTACCTTACCTTGTTTCATGCCCAGCATTTTAAAAAATGTAATTATTGCATTTGGCCCAGTCATAGGTTTTTAAATGCTGTATATTACTGTTATTTTTATTGTTTATTGCTTATTGTGTATTTTTTGTTTTTGAGTTTTATTTCAACTGTTTGCATTGATTATTTGTTATCGTTTTCATTTCTTGATGTGCTGTGGGCTTGGCCTCATGTAAGCCGCACCGAGTCCCCTGGGGAGATGGTAGCGGGGTACAAATAAAGTATTATTATTATTATTATCATTATCATTATTATTCCACTCTTCTCAGCTTTGGAGGACTCAGAGCGGTTAACAATAGCAAAATTCAATGCTCAAAAACATCATAAAACAGTTAAAAACAATTAAAAATAGTAGCA